AATTAAAAAATGGGCAGAAGACATGAATAGACACTCCACCAAGGAGGATACTCAAGCAGCCAACAAACATATGAAGAAATGCTCACAATCATTAGCTATTAGAGAGATGAAAATCAAAACAACAATGAGGTACCATCTTGCTCCAGCACTAGTAGCAAACTGCAACAAGACAAAATAACAAATGCTGGTGAGGATATGGAGAGATTGGGACTCTCATACACTGCTGGTGGGACTGTAAAATGGTACACCCATTTGTGGAAAACAATACGGCGACTCCTTCAAAAATTGGAGCTAGAAATACCATTTCACCCAGCCATTCCATTACTAGGTGTATATCCTAAAGAAGTGAGAGCCATGACAAGAACAGATATTTGCACACCCATGTTCATTGCTGCACTATTTACAATAGCCAAAAGGTGGAAACAACCTAGGTGCCCATCAACTGAGGAATGAATATCCAAATTATGGTACAAACACACAATGTAATACTATGCAACCCTAAAGAATAATGTAGAATCTGCAAAACACCCCATAACATGGACGAACTTGGAGGACATTATGCTGAGTGAAATAAGTCAATCACAAAAGGACAAATATTGTATTGGTCCATTATTGTAATAGTCAAGGAAATGCTTATCTATGGAAGGTCATTTTCTTTCTTGGTTACCAGGGGTGGGAGGGGAGGGGAGGGAATACTGTTAGATAGATAGAGATAAGGCAATGTACCAAATGTGAGTGATCAATATAATGGCATTAAGGAAGAGAAAGAAATAGAGAGCTACATGGCAAGTACAGACAACAAAGATGAACCCTTTCACACATATAATACAACATACTCAGTGAAGGCAAACATGGGTATATGGGTGGATAGATGGGTGAACAGGCTGAAATATTAGGTACCTATATGAAGTGGAGAGTATACCCAAGAACATGTATAGGGTTTGCAGACAGTGGTCCAATAACTTTATGTGTATGATCTGAATTCCCAGGTGTACAATGGGGCTGACAAGGGGCAAGGTTTTAGTCACTGCTTGGCCACTTACAGGAACCCCAAGGGACCGAGTAGTTGAACTTGTGGGCTCAGGACCATAGTCGCAGAGGACATCAAGCTCAATTGGCATAACATACTACACAAATCATTGTTCCACCTTCTACCGTGGCTAGTAGCGCCTGAGATCTTAAAAGCTTGCAAGCTGCCATCTAGATGCAATGATGGGTCTCTCCTCATACAGGGCCAAGAAGAATGTAGAAAACAAAAAATTCATGGAAACAATCAGTTCTAGCGACTGGTACACCATCCAGTCTGCAAACTATATGACTATGAAACCATAAGAAATAGATGGTGCTTGGCTACTACTGTCAACCACTTGGAAGAGGATCTGTGTAGGAGATCCTGGATAAACAGGGGGAACAAATGTGGAACAAAACTCAAAATCATTTGGGAAAAAAAAAAAAAGCCAGGAACAGGTTTACTGGCCCGATGGACCCTGGTGGAACCACTGAGACTATGGCCCCTAGCTGTCCTTCAGGTCTGGAATTGAACACACACCTGTAGCTTCCAGCCAAGCAGTAGACAGGCATACTAGCTGAGCATTTATCTGAGGTAGATACACTCCTTGGAGAGAACAAGTAAGAGAGAAAGGTTGCTCAGGCACAGGGAGACAGCTCAGGGGGTAGGAGTGCATGGAGGGATGGTCACAGGGAAGCGGTACCTATCGGGAGGAAGTGGGAGAGGAGATGTTGCATTGTGCTAAACAGTGGTCAATGTCATGAGACAAAGTGTATGTGATCTGCTGTATGGAAAGTGTATTTCCTCTGTAAATTTTCAGCCAAATCACAATAAAAATAAAAATTTAAAAAAAAAGACCTCTTTCAAGTGCTGAAGGGCAAAGATGTCTCCTTGAAGACTATGGGGCGCCTGACACAAGCCATAAATTTTTCAAATGCCTCATATGCATGTGAGACCTGGACAATGAATAAGGAAGACCAAAGAAGAGTTGATGCTTTTGAGTTGTGGTGCTGGTGAAGAATGCTGAAAATACCATAGAGTGCTAAAGAAGTAACAAATCTGTACTGGAAGAAGTGCAGCCAGAATGTTCCCTGAAAGCAAGAATGGCCAGGCTTTGTCTCACCTACTTTGGTCATGTTGTAAGAAGCTGCCATTCCCTGGAGAAGGATGTTATTCTTGGTCATCAAAAGAGGGGAAGGCCCTCAAAAAGATGGACTGACACAGTGGGTACAATGATGGGCTCCAGTATAGCAAGGATTGTGGAGCTGGCACAGGCCCGGGTAGTGTTTTGTTCTGCTGTACACTGGGTCACTATGAGTTGGAGACAACTCGACGGCACCTAACAACAATTCACTACACAGAGTGCTTGTAATCACAGCCTACTTCACAGGGGGATTGTGCACAGTCATTTAAAATATGGAAACACACTAAAGAGCCCTACCACTGCTTCTCAAGTGCGCTCCTTACTCCCAAGGGAGCAGACACAAAGATCTGTACTTGGGAGGGCCTCAGTATTGTCACCACACAGAAGCACCTGGGGTAGGGGCAATGCAGAACAGGAGGAGACCAGGATCACAGCCCCTAGAAGGGAAGACACCATATCAGAGGTTTGCAAGGCAGAGGAAGCCAGGTGCATAGTCTGGTAAATGCATCTCCATGCCCACAGAGGTGAGGTAGCTACACAAGTGGGTAAGGGCAGCAGATGACACAGAAACAGGGACTGCCCCATCACTGCTCCCAGGAAAGTGCCAGACCTCTGGGGACCCTTTCAAAAGAAGCCCAGAAACACAGATTTTAAACATAGTGATGACAGAAACAAAATGTATATTAACTATTGAATGGAAAACTAATTTAATCTGTAAACTTTCACCCAAATTACAATTAAAAAAAAGAAACCAACAAACAAAAAACTAGTGACAACTAACTAAAAACCTTTAAAAGCACTGCTGTATGCTGTTTACTGGTGTGCAAGAGACATTTGGAAGGAAAGAGCTAAAGAAGGACTTCTCCCTGGCAAGCTCAGGGTGACTCCACTGCCCCAAGCCTACCCTTCCTCTTCTCTGTCCTGGAGGCTGGACTAGGAGAACTCAAAGTCCTCCCTGTGGAACTTCTGCAATCTCATTAGGAAATCAGCAGAACAAAAATCTGTGTCTGTGGTTAAAGTAGCCCAAAGAGCCAGTCTGAAGAAAATCAATTCAATTCACTTATTTGGTGAGACTTAACTGTGTACCAGGTACTACCCAGAGCCCATTCTTAAGTCTGTAGCCCTTAGAGCTTTGTTCACATGTAAATGCAAGCTGGTTTCTGGACTGCACAAATTGTGTGAGGGACACTAATTCAGAACAACAAAACTCCTCTGACTGTATTATGCTATTAGTTCCTTTTCTTTAAGTTTCTGCTTGCCATAGTGGCAAATTCTAGAAGTTTGGCTACTTTTTGATTAGAAAAACCAAATGCTTTATTTAGTACACTAAATGCAATTTTACAGTTATTTTAATAAGGCACACAAATAAAAATCTAACTTTAGATGTCCAAAGTATTAAATATTGACCTTGCCATTTCTTTTCCTCCCACAGTATAAAGAGCAGAAATTATTTTTAGCCAGTGATTTCAAAGTTTCTGTAATTGAGTCTATTAAAGACTTAACATCCTAAACTTGGACACCTAGATGATACACAGCCTGGAACCATTTGTCATTGCAGTTGAGATGATCTCAATTCTCTGACTCGCCTGTTAGCAGCTCCACTAGTCCCTTGCTTCAAGTTTCTCAGACCACAATTGTATTACATCAAGCTATACCTCTCATCACCTCCTGTCTATCCTCTCCCTTCACCTTCCCCTCCTCCTCTTCACTCCTTTTGACCAGTTCACCTCCTGTCTCCCCATCAGCCCAAGCTTCCTAAGTTCCCAAACATACAAGGCTCAAATCCACTTTTTTGCAAGCCCAATATAACCAAAGAGCATGCTTAGAGACTCAGGCTGGTTGCATTTTCAGTAGCCTCCTCCCTTAATATTTCTTAATGCCATAAAAGTTTCTAAGGCATTCTTCATGGAGCTCTGGCTGTAAGCCCTACACTGTGTTCTACCCACAAACATCTAATAGTGTACAAGCAGTCCCCTTCTTCCTAGACTCATCTGCTCCTTGAAAAAATTATTCCCAGAAATCATATACCTAGAAGCCCTGTGCCATCTATTTCATAAGCTTGACACTTCTTCATCTTCTCCCACTGCCCCCAAAGTAAATTAAGTAAACACCATGAAAGAAAAACAACTTGGAAACACACGCGATCCAAGAAACTCAAGGCAATTACAATACATATAAAGCCAGCATATAATTCCACAAAAATCAAAATATGCAGATCTTTTTTGGAGGGAGGGGGACTTGAACTTTTAAGAGAAAAACAAAATCCTAATTATAAAAAAGGAATATAACTATACTTTTTAGTGGTCCTCTTTTCCAAGGACAAGTAACCTTCTAGATTGCACAAATGTTTTGTTTTGTGATTTTTAGAATGCTGTTATTAAACGACAGCTTCAATAGACCCTCCAATGTTGTCAATATTTTTTACCCAACATAGCAAAAAAATGAACTCTTCTCTTCTGCAGTATAATCAGGTATGTATACAAATGCCAGTCTAGGAAAGTAATGCCATCATACGACAGCTTTAAAGGACATCCTTTAACTGGGAAGGGGCATAACAGAAATTTTGGGGATAGGAGAATAGAAGAAATGTTCTATTTCTTGATCTGAGTGGTAGATAAACATATATATTTTTTGACCTGTACACTAAAAATTTGTACTTTTTACAATTATATCTCAATTAAAATAGAAAGATACCCACCCACTAAAAATCAGACATCATCATGAAAAATTAATTGCTACTAAAATTAAGGAGAAAATTCATACACAGAACTTACCAAAATTCAAAAAAATCAGTTTAGCCTGTATTCCAGGACATAGTTTGATGAGAAATGGAATGGCAATGTACAACCCCAAAATACAGAGAAGAATCTTCCGCAGTCGGAACCACAAGCCCTTTCGCCTGCAAGAAAAAGCAATTAATAGGTCAAGAGTCTATAGATGCAATTTTGCTAAAAAAACAAACTCACTGCTGTCCAGTCAATTCTGACTCATAGTGATCCTTCCTTGTGTTTCCAAGGCAGTATCTCTAGAGAAGTAAGTAGACTGCCCAGTCTTCCTTCTGAAGAGTTTAATAACAGCATTATAAAAATGACAAAACAAAATACAAGAATACTGTGTTTTCACAAGGATAGTGCCAGTCATGAGAGCAGCCTTATATCCTTCTTTTATAAAAAGTTACTGTTTGAGATAGTCTTTTGATTTAAGCTTAGAACTCAACTAGGGCCTTTTTTTTTTTTTTTTTTTTTTTTCTTAAAAAAAAAACAGTCCTGACAATTTCCTATCCCACCCTAAGATAAGAATACAACAAAGCAACCAGATTCTCAGAAAGTGCCTAGCCTTAAGTCAGACCTGAGCTTCAACTTCATCTCAGAAAAGAGTGCCTCCTCAGAGTCTCACAGGTACACCTTTCTGCTGAACAGCAACAGACAACACTGGGTTACTCATTAGCTACCTGTAGGAGGCACCCCTCCCCCAATGACACCAACAGAACCTGTCCAACCAGGTCCCAGGGAGAGCAGGTATCTGAGACCTAGATTTGTGGTCAAGCCTGTGCTATGTTTACAGCCTAGAATGAGCCCTTCCAGACCACTCACAAACTTTTAGTCTCAAGATCCTTCCACACTAAAGTCTATTTATATAGACTTGTATTTATTACTATGTATCACGAGAAATTCAGACTGCGAATAATTTTTAAAAATTTCACTAACTCATCTAATAATAATAGTAATGAGCTTATTACATGATAATACAAATAGTATTTATATAAGAAATATATTTTTCAATACAAAAAATTTTAGCAAAACTTTCACTCAAATCACAATAAAAAGTTAAAAAAAATTAGTGACAAGAGTGCATTTAAGGTTTTTTTTTTTTTTTTTTTTTAAATTGTGATTTGGGTGAAAATTTACAGAGCAAATACACTTTCCATACAGCAGTTCACTTACACTTTATCTCATGACATTGACCACAATTTAGCACAATGGCATTTAAGTTTTTTAATTTTTAAATTTAAATTTTTTTTTATCAATTTGTTTAAACCAGACAGCTAAATAAAAGACAGCTAGATTTTATGGGAGCTCTGATAGCATGGTGGCTAAGGCTAGCTAACCAGAAGGTCGGTGGTTCAAACCCACCAGCCACTCCCCAGAAGAAAGATGGGGCAATCTACTTCCATAGTGATACTGCCTTGGAAACCCAAGGAGGGGTCGCTATGAGTCAGGGATAACTCGACGGCATATAACAACACAACAGATTTTCATATCTGCTTGTACATTCAATCTATTGTGAGGTCACACCTCATCTAGCACACCCTCATGAAAAAATGAGTGAAAAAGTCAAATATCATCTTATTTGTTGTTAGGTGATGTAGACTCAGCTCTCATAGCGACCCCATGTACAGCAGAAGCAAACACTGCCCAGTCATGTACCAGCCTCATAATATTTGCTATACCTGAGCCCATCATTGGAGCCACTGTGTCAATTCATATAGTTGAGGGCTTTCTCCTTTTTCACTGACCCTCTACTTTACCAAGCATGATATCCTTTCTCCAGGGAATGGTCCCTTCTGACAACATGACCAAAGTAGATGAGACTAAAGTCTGGCCATTCTCGCTCCAAGGAGGATTCCGGCTGCACTTCGTCCAGGACAGATTTGTTAATGCTTCTAGCAGTCCATGGTACTGTCAGTATTCTTCACCAATACTACAACTCAAAAGCATCAACTCTTCTCTGGTCTTTCTCACTCATTGTCCAGCTCTCACATGCATATGAGGTGACTGAAAATACCATGGCTTGGGTTAGGCACACTTTAGTCATCAAAGAGGTATCTTTGCTCTTCAGCACTTAAAAGAGGTCTTTTGCAGTAGATTTGCCCAATGCTATATGTTATCTGATATCTTTACTGTTGCTTCCACTGGTGTTGATTGTGGAAGGAAGTAATATGAAATCTTTGACTACTTCAATCTCTTTTCCATTTATCATGGTGATGCTTACTGGTCCAGTTGTGAGGATTTTTGTTTTCCTTATGTTGATATGTAATCATGGCCGCAGGCTGTAGTCTTTAATCTTCATCAGTAAGTGCTGCAAGTCATCCTCACTTTCAGCAAAGTTGTGTCATCTGCGTATTGCAGGTTGTTAATGAGTCTTCCTTCCTTCAATTCTGATGCCATGTTCTTCTTCACATAGTCCAGCTTCTCAGATTATTTGTTCAACATACAGATTGAATAAGTATGGTGAAAAGATACAACCTTGATGCACTCCCTTTCTGATTTTAAACCATGTAGTATTCCCTTGTTCATTTCACTTGACAGCTTCCTGGTGTATGGACAGGTTCCTCATGAGTACAATTAAGTGTTCTCAAATTCCCATTCTTCTCAACGTTAAGCATAATTTGTTATGATTCACACAATCCAATGCTTTTGCATAGTCAATAAAACACAAGTCAACATCTCTTTCTGGTATTCTTTGCTTTCAGCCAAGATCCATCTGACATCAGCAATGATATCGCTCTTTCTACATCCTCTTCTGAATACAGCCTGCAATTCTGGAAGTTCCCTGTCAATATACTGCTGCAACCATTTTTTAATTACCTTCAACAAGATTTTACTTACGTGTGATATTAATGATGTTGTTGTTGTTGTTATGTGCTGTCAAGTCGGACCCGACTCAAAGCAACCCCTCTTAGGGTTGCCGAGGCAGTATCACTACGGAAGAAGATTGCCCAACCTTCCTTCCAAGGAGTGGTTAGAGGGTTTGAACTGCCAGCCTTCTGGTTAGCAGTCAAGTGCCTTAGGCATTATGCTACCAGAGCACCCGATATTAATGATACTGTTCGATAATTTCCACATTCTGTGCAATTAAATCATTTTGACCTCACAGACTCTCTGAAAGGATATTGAAGACACCCAGAAGTCTCTGACCACATGTTGAGAACTTCTATTCATTATAACTTACTATAGCAAGTCTAAACTTCAGTGCGACTATTTCTTTCTTTTTTATGTTCTAAATCAATTTTTAAAAAAATGTATTGTGATTTGGGTGGAAGTTTACCTAGCAAATTCATTTGCCATTCAGCAGTTCAAATCACTGTCTCATGACATTGACTGCAAATTTCCACAATGCAACAGCTCTCTTCCCACATCCTCCCTATAGCTACCTCTTCCCTGTTTAATGGGACTATTTCTTTAGGGACTACTTCCAACAAAATATTTAAGGTGATATAAAAAATATACATGACATCAGCAATGAGAAACTAAAGTAAACATTACCATTTAAATTGCATCTAAAAGAATAAAGTATCTAGAAATAAATTTAATCAGAAAAGTGAAAGACCTGTACACAGAAACTTATAAGACATTACTAAAAATAAATTAAAGAAGACCTAAATAAATGGACATTCTGTGTTCATGGATTGGAAGGTTTAATATAGATAAGATGTCAATAATATCCAAAGTGATCTATAAATTCAATGAAATCCCCATAAAAATTCCAATTGCCTTCTGTGCAGACGTGGAAAAGACAATCCTCAAATTCACGTGAATTAAAGGATTAAAGTATCTAAAGCATTCTTGAAAACAAATAAGGTAGGAGAACTCACACTTCCTGATTTCATAATATACTATATAAATCTACAATAATTAAACATCATTGGTGCTGGTATAATAATAGTTACATAGACCAATGGAATAGAGTTAACAGTTCAGAAATAAATCCATAACATCTATGAGCAACTGATCTTTGACACTAGTGTTAAGTACATTCAACGAGGAAGGAAGAGTTTCTTCCATAAATGGTCCTGGGAAAATTGGATTTTCACAAGCAAAAGAATGAATCAGGACCAATGACTCATATCATACATAAAAACCAATTCAAAATGGATCAAGGACCTAAGTGTGAAAACTTAAGCCATAAAATTCTTAAAAGAAAATATAAGGATGAGGTTGTGAGACCTAGAGCTTAACAACGAATTATCGGATATGAAAACAAAAACTCAACCAGCAAGAGACAAAATAGATCAAATTTTGAGACTTCATAAAAATGAAATGATTTCGTTCATCAAAGGACTTTGTTAACCAAGTGAAAAGATAACCTACAGATTGGGAGAAAATTTTGGGACAATGTCAAATAAGGGCCTAATATCCAAAATATATGTAAACCTTCTACTACTTAACAATAAAGTGTGAGCAGAAGACTTGAATAGGCAGTTCATTAAAGAGGATACAAAACGACCAACAAGCACATGAAAGGATGCTCAACATCATTAGCCATTAACCAAAAAAAAAAAAAAAAAAAACAAACTCACTGCCATTGAATCAGATTCAACTCATAGTGCTCATAGTGATCTCTCCTTGGGTTTCTGAGGCCATATCACTGTGGAAGTAGATTGCCTAATTTTCCTTTTGAGGAGTGGCTGCTGGGTTAGGCCTTAGTCACTATGCCACCAGAGCTCCTTACATTGGACATTGGTCTAGAGCATACACATCCTCCTGAGGAATGTTTTCCCAACCCTGCAAGATATAGTCACCTATCTGTTGTCACTACTGTATCTGAGTGTGTGTGTCTTTAAAAGGCCATTCCATCATTCAATCAAACCAGAGACTTCAGGATGATGGGGAACATGGTAAAACCAGTGAATTCCATGAGTATGGGCTCACTACCACACTTCATTTGTTGTTAAGTGAGTCCCTTGATCGAGGTGACACTGTGTAGCTTAACATGATGGTGGAGAAGGGATTCTGTAAGTGCATGAATGGTAGTTTTGGGAGAAGCATTGCATGCAGAGAAGGCAAATCCTTATCTAGACTAAGTGTCTATTTCAATAAGAACAAAATGCGCCCTTTCTAAAAGGAAGTGGTCCAATATAATCAACCTGGCACTAGATTGCTGGCTGGTTGACCCAAG